ATACAATGGCAGTCCACATCTTCAGGGTTGGCCTTGCAAGGAGGCTTCTCTTCCCAGGAGCAATTCTTTCTTATATTACTTTTAGACCCACTGCAATATACCTATAAAAAAATAAAGAAAAAAAAAGATCAATTAATATCAAAAGAGTGTTCTACTAAACACACTCCTATCAGCAAGGATGGAAGGGAAAATAAATGTACAAAAGACAAATAAGTATCGTTCACACAACATACAGGCAATGATGTAGAGGCAGGAAAAGACCATTCCCAAATTCACATAATTCACAGTCTTGGTCCCGCCTTTACACCAAGTCAGTCAAAACCATACATCAACCATAGTTGATTCCTGTTTTAGTTTTTCTGCTCATTGCAAAAAGCTAAAAGAAACTTTGATTGAAAACAAGCAAAAGTCAGTATTTCAAGTCTTCAGAGACATTACACAGAGACATCAGGTGTTACCGAAGAAGATTCACACTCCCAGTAAGCCTTCATTTCCCCACATAAAGCAAAAATAGGAAATGTCTTTTCTTCATTAGGAATACATAGAGACAGAACCACAGAATCATTAAGGTTGGAAGGGACCTCTAAGACCATCAAGTCCAATCATCAACCTAACACCACCATGCCCACTAAACCATGTCCTGAAGTGCCACATCCACACGTTTCTTGAACATCTCCAGGGATGGTGACTCCACCACCTCCTTGGGCAGCCCCTTCCAGTGTTTGACTGTGGAAGAGATTTTTCCCAATATCCAATCTAAACCTCCTCTGCTGCAACTTAAGGCCATTTTCTCTTGTCCTATCACTAGCTACATGGAAGAAGAGACCAACACCCACCTCCCTACAACCTCCTTTCAGGCAGTTGTAGAGAGCAGTAAGGTCTCCCCTCAGTCTCCTTTTCTCCAAAGTAAACAACCCCAGTTCCCTCAGTTGGTCCTCATAAGACTTGTTCTCCAGACCATTCACCAGCTTCTCTGCTGTTCTCTGGACACGCTCCAGTGCCTCAATGTCCTCCTCATAGTGAGGGGCTCAAAACTGAACACGTAACTGACTGTCCCAATGGCTAGGCTCTCATCTTAGAAGTCACTGGAGCAGCTCCTGTTGACTTCAGAGCAGGTCATCAGCTTCTACCTGGATTTACCCTCTTGTTTCAAAGACTTTTTAGAGCTTCTTATGAGTTTCCAAACATTTCAGCTGAACAAGACCAATTGTAAGTCTCTTCCCTAAGTCGTTTTTAAAGGCAACCCTCTTCCTCATCACTGAAGCAAGCTTTAGTCTTCATCCTGCACTTATGAAGAAAAACATCATGGCCTTCAAAAAGTGTTAAGGTTCAACTCTGCACGACATCTCAGAGGTGTGACAACTGCAGCTGCAGATGCAAAGGCAATTCACAACACAGAATGAGCAGCATGTGTGAATGGTATCAATAACATAGTGAAAAACAGCCAAGTCACCAGTATCATGTGTAAGACCTTGATTTAGCCATCCATGCAAAAAATTTTTCCCTGAGCTCTCAATCCAAGTCCCAACCGTGCTTGTAAATTAAAGAATCCGAGTAAGAGCCTTTTTGTCCTCCAAGAAAGCCCAAGGTGATGTTTATTAGCTTTGACTATCAGATTGTAACATTTTGATGCTTCATACCATGAAACTTTTGTTCCAAATTTTCCTCCTTACCCTGTATCCTAAAGCCTCAAACAGGGCAACAGACTTTTGGCCTCAAAACCACCCTGTCTGAAAAAGGATGAAATATAAACAGCTATCCCAGACTACGTACAGGACACACAACACACACAGGTCCACACTGGACTAACAGAGTCAAAACTTGATACTAAAACACAGTGCCTCAAATTCATCATCCATAGTCACCTTACAAGTTCTCTAAGGAACTCAAAGCCTCCTTCCTGCCTTTTTATTCATCCTAGTCAAGAGTTATTTTGCCTGTTGAAAATAGATGGAGCATTTCTACATCTTCTGCTCTCCCAGACAGCAGGGGAGCCTGAAAGGATCGGACTGTAGGGTACTTGCACCACCAACCTTAGCTTGTGCGCTCATCTGCAGCTTTCTCCCTGAAGTTAAGTGTGCAAAGCATCCTCCTTATTTTGTGCAAGCAGGTTTCTCACTGCAGCCGAAAGTTCATGCCTGGGTCATCCCACCTGGCAGCTGGAAATATTTCTAAGTCTAAGCTGACAACAGAAGTCTTGGTGGGGAAAGGCAGCTCAACAGCCCCATCTAGTCCCGTGTACCAAAGACTGCACCGGGTGTGCTATCAGCACCAGCTTTGCTGCGGTCCCTCTCCCATTTCGTACTGTGTACACACAGTGCAGGCTGCCTTTGCTCATTCCTTCTTATCACTTGCTCTTCCAAGTGCACCTTAGCAGGAGTTGAAAGACTCAGCGCAGGAGAGGAGATGACCTGTGTGATACAGAACTGCAGCCCCCTTAACTTATACAGGCATCAGGAAAGCAGCCCCACGTTTTTGGCAGGGAATTAGCAATATGAATTTGTGCTATAACTTGAGTAGTTTTCCCACCATTCTGAATTACAAGGCACTTCCACTAGTTTGACTTGCTTTTAGCACACTTCTGCTGTCACTCTTAGCGTATGCTGTAGTTGTCATTGAAAACTCCAGTTGACAAGAGTAGGGCAAGGGGGGAAAGCAAGCGGAAGAGCAAGGGCAGATACACTGCACACAAGAGATTTTCCTAGAGCAGACAGATCCTTACTGCTGACAGACAGCAAAAGTTTGCTTTAAACTCCAAATCCTTCAACTTAAAGTTCCCTCACGGACACTATAGGTTCCTTACCAAGATACTCAGAGCACCATTTGTCAGCTTACACTCCCACCGTGTTGTTATACAGAAATAAGTGCACTTTTTGCAAAATTCACAGGTCACAGACATAGATTCAGCAAGCAGCATCTGACCCACAGAAAAATTTAAAAAAGGAAAAAAATTCATCATTAAGGTTACATTTTACATTTTAAAGAGAGTCCACGTTATGTTTGCTGTCCCTTTTCAAGGCAAAAGGCTTACAAGAAGCAATATTTTATAGCCTAAGAAGTGACCCTGAGAATAAACTGGCTGTGCAATAATGTATGCATTTACTGTTCTAAAAAAAACCGAAAAGAATAACAGCAATGAATACAAACACAGAGAAGTCTCTTATTATAAGGGTTTTTTCCTGTCTTTACTAATACCTTTGTAGTTATTCTAATCAACCCTCAAATCAACCCTTCTAATCAACTTCTTACATTGCATTTTGGAAATGCAGATATAGCAGCATTATATCTACACAGAACTACTATAACTATTATTATAGTTAAAATCTCATTAGGACAAATAAAATAATTTTGATTAAACTCAGCTGACCCAAGAACTACATATATTTGTAACATCAAAAGTTGAGCACACAGAGTGTGTGGAAGCTGCTGCATTAACACAGCCATCTGTTCCCTGTGCACAGAGATCCCAAACCACATTAACCCACCAGAAGCCCTTTCCATCACAGCTGACTTTGGATCCACTTGACTGTAACAGTTCCAGAGGAAAGCGAAATCCCAGTAAGTACCTCTCACCTCTTCCAAAGCACCTGGCACCATTTCTGGATTAGGTCAGCACTCGTTCTGGGCCACACACCAAGCTCATACGCAAGAGGTTTGTCTCCCACCTTCTATCTCACTAAACATGGTCTCCTCAGGGGACAACTGATAATGCCTTCCCCAAGGTGCTCAACAAAAACGTACAAGCTTAAAACAATTTTAAATATACTTTAGCCAATTATAAAACTGCAGGGTGTATGAAGTAGACAAGCACAATACACAGACTGTTAGAACAGCAGACAAGCAAACAGCTCATTTCCAAGTCCAGCAACGGGATAACCAGATGCAGTCATACCTTAATGTAGTCCAGATGATGTCTGGGATGCTGTATTAAATACCAGAACCTCCAGCTAGGTGTTTTTTGGAGTTTTTTTGTGGGGCTTTTCTGCTTGGTTTGTTTTGGAATTTGGTTTTCTTTTTCTTTTGACCTCTTCCACCTTAGAACAATCCCATATATCCAGAACAAGAGTCGCAGTTACTTGCGGATCACATTTCCTGACTAACAACTGCCTCTTACAATCACAAGCAATAAGCTTTATTTCTGCCTTCCCATCACACTTCCAGCCAGTCCCACATGGCTCCATTTGTACTCAGAGACCCCACTGAGCATCCACTCTACACACCTACATCCCAGAAAAGCACCAGCTAAAGCTTCTTCTCCAGATCGTGTTGCTTCCCAGAAGAATCCATCCTCTGGCTGCTGAAGACAACATGAAGAAGACGAACGCTACTGTTCTCATCAGAAGTAATTTTGGGAAAGGAAAGCAAAATTCACTCTTCGAGCACTACCATCTGCAGTGCAGCTCCAAGAAAATTAAAAGTTAAACCAAGCCACAAAAGACAGCAACAAAAAATCTGGGAAAGGCCTATACTCTGAAAAGTACAAAGTTTACTTTTACCATCTGAGGTTGTAACTCATCAGGGAACGAGCATGCTGGAAAACCACAGCAACGCTGAGTCAACAACTGAATGGACTATGACTTTGCAATGTACACACACATCCAGAGGGCACTGCCTGCTGGGTTTCAGAAGTGTTCCTCCTTTCTTGCTGATCTCCCTGTGCTTGAGCCAAGGAATTTGTGGGAAAAAAATAAAATTTTAAAAAAAGAAAAAAAGGAAAAAAATTCAAAGTATTATTGCAAATAACATTGATTGGGGTGACGGCGCAAGAGCAGAGTGAAGGCTTTGGAATACAAAGCCCTTGCCTCCACGCCCTTCCAGCCAGCCTCAGTTGTTCCTGGTTAAGCAGCTGCAAGATGCGTGCAGTGACTGCACCAAGCTGAAAGAGATCTAGAACTAGACAAAAACCTTGGAAAGAGGCAGTGTGCGTGTTAGAGATCGCGAGTACAACGTGACCAAAGAAAAAAATTT